CACACACACACACACACACACACACACACACACACACACACACCAAGACAAGAATGTAAGCCGCAGCACGAAAGCTCCGACTCTGTTTCTCTCTCTCTGTAATTACAGCTTTAAACTGCTGACTGCTGGTGAAGAATCAGACACACACACACACACCAAAAAAAAGCCATCCAACACAAAGCACGTGTGTGTGTACGTGTGCACATACATGCGTGTGTGTGGTCAGTCAATGACAGGGTGTGTGAGTCGTTTTTAGCAGAAGAAAAATAAAATGGAAAGATCAGATACAGAGCGCGCAGACATTTCCATTTCTGCTTTCTTAACTAGTTCAGCTTCTGATTGCTTCTCCTGTCTTTCCTCCCTTCCTTAGGAGCCTTCCTCTCCCTTTGCCGTCCCTTCTTCTCTTCTTTTTTTGTGTATTTGTTCTTTTTTCTTTCCTCCTTTCCATTCTTACGTTCAGCTTTTCTTTCTGTCATAGTTTCTCTCTTCTTTTAACCATTTGTTTTTCATCTCTCCTCCAGTTTCTTTCCTTACTTTCCCTCATTAGTCTTCCTTCTTTTGTTCCTTTATTTCTTCCGACTTTCTTTGCACCCTTTGTGTTTTCTCTGGTCCCATCTTTCTTTTGTTTTTCCTTCCTCCATTTTTTCTTTTCTTTCTTTTTTCTTTTATCTCTTCCCTCCCTGATTTCTTTCTTTTTCCCTCATGTACTCTCTTTACTTCCTTTCTTCCTGAACCAGAAGGACTTTCTGCTATAACAGAATCCTGATATAGAAACTCTAACATGTTTCTGTCAGTAAAATGATGCAATCATTTCTGAAGTTCTGGAGCAGTCTGAAAGTGTCACTATGATTCTGCTTGTTAACTGCACCTCTGACTTCCTGTAACATTCAGTGAATATAATGATGAACAGCACCAAGAGCATAATCCTGGGGCAAGGACGTTTAGATAAATTAGAAACTCAGAGCTTTGTAAACTGGGATTAGCGTGCGTTTTAGCTGATCTAAGCACAAGTGACTGGATACAGGTAAAGGTGCAAATGCAGTCCACATACTTGAGATCTGATTGGTCAGATCATTTTGGTCACATAATGCATTTTTAAATGAAGAAAGACGTCCTTTCTTTGATGTTATTTTCTGTTTTTAGTTATGGTTTAGATAAGTGAAAGCAACAGAACAAGCTGGTGGCCAAAATAGACCCTGTGAACTCTCTGAAGAATAATAATAATAATGATAATAAATTTTATTTAAAAGGGGCTTTGAAGACACCTAAGGACACTTACCAATAGAATAAAACACACAATAGAACAATGACAACAAAGAACAATAAAAAAGGCACAAGATAAACAAAAAATTAGTTCACAGTGAATATGCAGATTTGAACAGGTGGGTTTTGAGTTGGGATTTAAACTGGGGGAGAGAACCAGTGTTTCCTATATTTGGGGGTAGGAAGTTCCACAGCCTGAGAGCAGAGCAGCTGAAAGCTCTGCTTCCCATGGTGGTGAGGCGGACAGAAGCCACAGCGAACTGGATAGAAGAAGATTGAAGTGAGCGAGCAGAAGAAGTAGTGCTTAACAGGTCAGAAAGGTAAGGAAGAGCAAGGTTATGAAGGGCCTTGAAGGTGAGCAGAAGAACTTTGCACACTCTCTTGAATTTCACAAGGAGCCAGTGAAGCTCCTGAAGATCGGGGGTGATGTGCTGGTAGGAGGGGGTTCTGGTAATAATGCATGAGTTTTGAACCAGTTGAAGCTTATGGAGGGATTTTTGGGGGAGACGATGTAAGAGAGAATTACAATAGTCAATGTGGGAGGTAACGAGGCTGTGAACAAGACTATTAACCACCTCACAGAGAGCCTGACACAAAGTCCTGAGGGCAAACTCAGTCTAAGGAGTTAGCTGTGACTACATCAGCTAACATTACTTAACCAAACAGCCTTGTGAGAGGTCCTGACTTCATTTTAACAACATCATTCAGTGTCACAGTAAGTACCTTGGGTTTTCTAAAGGCCATTAGTATATAACTTAACTCATTTCTACATTGTAACATCTGTTTGGAAACCAATCTGATCTTGCTTTAGTTCTTCGTGAAGACATAAGACACAAGTTT